AWKKTTTTTTTTTTWAAATAAGTCCAAACATCATATAATATACAAATTTATAAATTATATCATCATATCTTTGAAGCTTTAATTAAATGGACTTAATCTATCAAACTTTTATGTTTTTATAATTTGGAATCAATAGCTCTATTTATTTGAATTCAATGAATCAATTGATGYAGTGAATATSCACTTTTTTATGTTTTTGGTATTTTCAAATTTGGAAKTTGAAAATTTTAGATACAGAATTTCAAAATAAAAAACTTTCATAAATATATTATTTCATTTTATAAACTTATTTTATTTTTGTTAAAATTAAAATAGGTAAAATATAATATATTATAAATTATATAACATTGTAAAACAATAATTATAYAAAATTCATAACAAAAATGTTAATATATTATCTTAGATTAAACTAAATATTTAGTTATTAGGTATTACTAATTTACGAATATATTGATAAACACCTGTTAAACAATTTTTTAAATTGAGATTTAATTACAAATTTTGTTACCGAACACATATCTAAAAATACAGAAAACAAAAAATACAACTCTGTTTTTCAAGCACTCTAACTTTTTTACTCCTAYAATGAGAGACACCCACTCCAAAGTCCAGACCCAATAGATATAAAAATTTTTGGTATTAAACTCACCCACAGGTTTGAAAACATAAAACTTCATGGTAGGAGATACTACAAGGCCCCATGCCTAGTCGATAGGTCTGCCCCAAGAGCTCTCAAATCTATCAATTTTAASTGAGATAATATCTTTGGAGGGTTGTCTTAGAAACTTATTTACATATCTAAATTTTTATAATTTCACTTTTAGATTTTTGCAGGTATGATTTTAGTTTAATTCCGAATTTACCCCTACTTATTGCATTTTCATTTATTATAGTTTTTTGTTTTTTGAATATAAAATAGTTATTTCCATAAATTAATATCACAATCATTTAATTAATATGGGCCCCATATTAATGGTCAATTCAAATCCCTTAATTCACTCCTCCAAATGTTTTAAAAGATTGATTTTCTTTATTTACCAATATTATTATTAAAAAATATTCAAATTTCATGATCTCCATTTCTTCCAATTTCTGCTACTTTTAACGTTCTTACATTCATACATCTTCGTTCGTTCACACCCTAATACTACTGTGCTTCATTCACTACGATGCTTCTAAATATTTGATTGCTTCAATATTTCAGGTTGGTACAGTTGTCATACCGATATCTCAATATCCCTATTATTTGCACGTCATTCACATTCTGCTGTTTGCACTTGTTTAAAAAGAAAAAAAAGTCTGCTGAAAATAGTCTATTGTTTGCACGCCATTAGCATTTTTTTCCACTGCCATTCACAGTCWCTTATTTGTGTTTTTGAAATCAATTTTTTCCACTGCCATTCGTTTGTTATATTTCTAGTTTTATGAKTTCTTATGATTACTGCACTCCTTACTATGTTTTTCCAAATGTCTAACTATTATTTTTTTTTTGGTGTTATTTATACTTTAACAGAAGATAATTAACAGGAAGCATGTATCGATTGACGTCGATATTGAAGGAAAACACAGTTTATCTATACATTGAAAGAAATATGGGTATGAATGAATTTTATTTTCTTGTTTTAAATTACAGTTTAGCTATTCATATATATGAATATAAATTATGTTCATGTTGTTTCGTTATTATAAAATATAATATACTTGTACTCTTGAAATCTACTATTAACATTACATATAAACGCCTTTTAAGTAAGATATAATTTATACCCACGTAAATAAATGTACTTTTAAGCCAATATGAAATTCTRTAAGACATGGTATTAAGTATAACATATTGAATATACAATATATTCGATATAACATAGACTAAACTTTCTCATATATAAAATTTATCCGGATGTATTGATGTAAATAAGTAATGATATATATCCACCAGATTCTTAACTTTAAATCACCATCAGTATATATCGAGATACATAAAACTTGAGATATAATATATATTCTACTCTAAACACTATATATCCCCACATATACATTATTCAGAACAAACGAAATTAAAAATATATACTCGTATAAACCAAATACCTAATCTAGTGAAAGTTGTCCGTATGCTCGGGTTCTAATTCTTTAAATTTTGGTTACAATGATAGATTCACTAGTATATATCGAGATACATAAAACTAGAGATATAATATATATCCTACGGAAATAGAACCAGATAAATCAAAACTTACCTATATATGCGAACTATTTTAAACAATAGAACCAAAGAGCAAGAGATGAACCTCGATTCTGTCCAAAATTGAAACCTAAATATGGCATAAACTACGGTATAATGAGAACCGACGGATTGAAATGCTCATGCGATAGAGGCCGGAGATGAAATTAAATGTTACCGTATAATGGAGCCGCCGGAGACGAAGGGAGACAGCGACAATGTTATCGTATAATGGTAACCAACGGAATGAGATGCGACAAAGGCTGGCGGTGAAATGTTCTACAAACAAAGAAATTGGAGCCGCTGGAGACAACGACGATGTCAAAGAAATGATCAGATGTTTCAGAGGAAGAAGAAGCTCGACGATCGGAGCAGTGAAAGAAAATCGAAGGAGAAGAAAGAGGTTACGAAATTTTKGGGATTTTAGGATTTTTAGTTTTGAAAAGTTGAATTAACACAATTTTAGGGATTTAATATATTTTAATAATGATTTACCAATTTGACATTTTAATAATGATTTAATATTGAGATGAATATATTAATAATTTTTGTTATGAATACCATCTAATTTGAGAATTATTTTAGACAGAAGTGTTAATTCTATATTTTCCATCATTTTACGTAATTAGAACTCCTAAATAGACCATCTATTAATCTCATTTTAACTTTCAACTTTTAATTACATTATAAAATCGATAGTGCGGTGGATAGCAAAAWTTTTTTATATATTTTAAAATATGTCATCTATTTTTAAAATTTCATTTATATCAGTAGTATATCAGATACTCATATMARTAATATATCAATAATATATCACATACATATATCAGTAGTCAGATATATTACAGATATATACCATTTAAGAAAAATTGTCATTTTAAAATTGGACCTCTTTTTTTTTTTAAATCCTATATTTAAAAAAACTAGATGTGATCRCTATTTTACTAATTTTAAAAAACATTTTTGCTATATTTGGAACTACCCCTTATAAAACTATTCACGTACCCACCAATGAATCACAAGAAGATCAAGTTAAAACAAATATTTAAATCGAATCACAAAAATCTACGAATGTAGGAACAAACTCAAGTAGAAATTACTACTTGTTTAAATTAATAATGCAATTTAATGAAATTAAAACTTTAAGATTATAATAGGCAAATTGAGGAGTAAATTTACAAATTTGTAGAAGCCAGCTTTGCATATAGACAAGCTGCAAAACATGAATTTCTTCCTAATTTGACAAAACAATACATTTAAAACTCTTCTCATTTTCATTATTCTATTCTAATTCTTGATAGACAAGATCCCATTCAACATCAGAATATCATTAGCACAAAAATATCAACTTTGAATTAAACAAAAAAAAAAAAAAGAAAAAGAAAATACAGTTCTATATCAAGTGTAGGGCAAGAGCATTGAATCAAATTAAATAGCCCCTCATTCAAATACATGTGATTAAGAATGAACTTAGCAGCCCTCATCTACACAAATTGATCACTTTTTCCAGAGTCAGTTAGATAGAGTCATGTTTTAGCAGTAATCTTTTTTGTAACCAAATCTTGGTTTTTCCACAAACACTTCCCTCAACCTCACCTGCTCCTTCCAAAAAACACACACACCAAAAGAATTGCAGATGGGAAGCCATTAGAGAGAGGGAGGGAGGTTCTTGCCTGGAGGGTTGGGTGTCCCAAAAAATGTCCAAAAGGGTTGAAGTTGCCTTCAAACTTCAAACTTTTGATCGGCCGAGGAGTTGGAAAGCTCCCACCCATTCACGTTTAGTAGATTCCGGTACCTTCTCGTTGTCGATATACGGCGTCCAGACCTCTTTAGAAGGGTCTGTGAGAACCCACTCGACCTTTTCGGGCACATTACAGAAATCGAAGTTTAAAGCTGCGGATTTAGCACTGCCTGAAGATTTCTTGGCTTTGGGTTCCTCAGAGCCGTCACCAGACTGCAGAGTTACAATCAGGAAAGAGGAAATTGAGTGAAGAAGATATGGAGAGCCCATTGAGAGCCAAAGAGAGAATGTTAGCTTTCGACTCACCATCGCATCTTTCTTCCGTTTCCTTAATGTTCCTGTTTCCAGAAAGTAGAGAACCTCGATCTTAGACCGGAATCGACGGCCTGAGGTTGGGTCAAAGTAGTACTGCAAGAGACATGGGGGTCTATAGATTAGATTCTTTTTTCATTCTTCACTGTTTGTTTGCTTAATAAACATCTAAAACAGGATAATAAGAAAGGGAACCTCAAGAAACAAATGGGCCCCAAGGATGCTCTCTCTCAATTAATTCAGCATGACATGACAAAAAACAAAACAGAAAAGAGAAGAAGAAATCTCTTGCACTTGTTTGTCTATCAAGAATGTGCTTTTGAACATTATTATTGTTTTTGGTAAGAAACTGATATTTCATYGATGACACGAAATATAAAAAAGAGTCCTCGAAAACTGGATTACAAAAAGGCTTTCCAGTTTTATCAAGTGCTGATTAAGACTATAATTAGTACTGGGAGTAAAAACTTCAGCACCAACCCAGAGCTAAAACCATAACTCATATGCTTCAAAGGAAGGTCCTAACCAAATTCACCAATATGATTCCTCCATTCTTTTATAACAAAACTATTTATGAATACAAATTACGGTATAATCTAATCTGAAATATGACAATCACTGAAGCATCATATATCAGACACCAAGCACTAGTCACATATCCTAYGAGTTGCACAATTCCAACAAGAGCATTTGAAATCTTCAATTACTGAGTCCAAAGCTATTCACCAACATGCAAGGAGAGATCAAATAATCAATACGAAAGACTTTGTCTGATCCACTTGCTTTCTCGCTTGACTTGAAAGAATGGAGAACTCTCAACAAGCTGGAACTAATCAAGATYAATAGGAAGTCCCGGAATTTCTTGACAAAGGCTTGGTATAAATCCGTAGCCCGCTCTGGTCTACGCGGATCATGGGCCCAGCTAACGCGTGAAACACTCCACCTGGGGRCTATCCTACAAGTTTGACCCTAACCATTTCTGAACTGGTTAGCAACTTTTTTTTATTCTCTTTTTGATGGGGAATAATATTTCATTGATGAGATGAAATATACAAAAGAGGAATAACCCATGAAAGAGAGTTAAAAAGTTTTCCAATTCATCAAAAAGATCATTAAACTGTAACTTGAGAACGAGACAAAATAAGATCTATTCCAACTTAAAGCCAAAACCAGAACCCTATTGCAGATGACATTGACCAGCTGGCATTTGTCATTGAATATCCTGTTGTTTCTTTCCCTCTGATGCGCCAAATAAGAACTGGTTAGCAACTTAACGCTGACTGTTTTTATTTTTTCTTCCATGGTCTCCATCCTAATCAACCAAACTCTTTTACGATAAATGATTTCGTGTGAATGGGATCTTAGCTAAAGTGCCATGTCTAAATTATAAAGAAGCACATAAACCTATATCGAYGTTCAACAGGCTTGTTCATCATTTAGAAAACAAAAAAAGAAGAACCAAGAGAGTTTGGTATAGTAATTGTATGATAGAATTGATGAATTGTCAGAAGAGCTCTATTTCAGAAGCATGGATCAGAACATACTTGGATGCCATACCAAATACAGGACAAGCGAGTTCCCTTAACAAATTTAGAGAGACAGGTAGAGCTTGATAATGATGATGAATTGAATTCCTTTAGTTTACTTGCTCCTATGAAACTTATTAATTAAGATCCAGGTAACTAGAATTGCAATACCCATCAACATGACAGAGAATTCAGCTAGCGATAACCACATCCAGAATAATTTCTAAATCCATTGTAACTTCCTCTAGCTCCTTCGTGCCCTAGAATAGATGGGAGAACAACTGAAAAGGGAAAGCTACAACCAACCCGTTGAGACAAAAACAAAAGACTATTTGCAGCAAACAATGGGAATTTCTCTGATTGGTTCATGCTCTTATCCTAAGCTCCAAACGTAGCAAGAGTGAACATAACAGCAGCACCAAAGACAAAAGAAATGGTTCATAAATGGTCGAAAATTGTAAACCAACAGTCCAACAGCTAGAGTAGAAGGAAAATGATTAGATTGCGCAGATAAAGTTCAGTAGGCTGAGCCGAGGACTAATATTTGCATGGTGAATTAAGCAGCAGAAGAGATTTTGGTCCACTTCCTCCGTGATCTTCCGAAACTCAAACGCGAGTTAAGAGAAGTAATTCAAAATTCGACATCGCAAAACGATCTGTAGTAATTAAATGAATCAATTCACCTTGTCGACGGTTCCGGCCGTGGCGCCGGAGGCCCGGACTCTATCTTGCACCACCCAGCCCGGCGGCAGCCAATTAGGCCTCTCCGAGGGCACGGATTTAGGGGAGGCGTCCGGCGTGGCTTTGGAGGCAGACAATTTCCTGGGCGCCGGAGAATCGCCATTTCCGGGAGCAGGAGCATCCGGAGGCAGCTTCCTGCCATTGAGAGGCAGAGGCTCGGCGCGCAATGGAGATCGGCGAGAGGGAGAGGGCGGCTCGGGGTTGTTGGGAGTCCGGTGAAGATCTCCGCGGTGGGTGCGGGCGGCGGAGGAGGCGTCGATGAAGGAACCGGGGTCGAGGAGAGGGTCCGGCGGGAGGGAAGGTAAGTCGGGTCGGGTCGGGTCTTGACGGGGCCAGTTGGGGTCCGGAAACGAAGTTCCAGAAGCAGACATGTGGGAAGAAGAGGAAGAAGAAGACGAGGGAGAGAAAACGGAAAGAGGACGTTAGAACACGGAAGGGAAGGGGGAGATTATTTATTGTCGTTGCCACATGACTTTTCTTCTCTCTCTCTGTCTACACTTTATTGGCTCCACTCCATTATGGGCCTAGCCCAACCTCACCATTTAAAAATTAAATTGTAATTTCGGTAGTGGCAAAATTTGGGCACCCGTTTTAGTAAATAGTCGATAGTATCACATTTTGCACAAATAGTTAAACAAAGTTACTTAGAAATGGATGAATTTCCAACTTTGCTCGTGAATCTTTTTCTTTTCTTTTTTTTTGTCTCTTCTCGTCTGAAAAACAACTACCATAGATTTGAACCAACTCCATTTTCCCACATTTGGTTAATCATATTTGATTTTATATCTCCACCATTTAAATTTTAGTCTCGAAGGAGATCTCTCATTCTTCAAAGCTCTCCCCTTTACGACGATCACTTGACCCTGGACAATCTCTCATTCTTCCAAGCTCTCCCCTATGATGGATTATGTCTCATTCTTCCAAGCTCTCCCCCTACAACGATGATTATGCAACAATGAATTCTGTACTAATCACTTTTCTATACGATCGTACTTGACACCAAAACAATGTGTACAACGATTTCAAAATCAGTCATATGTCCGTTGGTATTGACTCTACTTCATCACATTGTTAGTTTTATGGCTTCCATCAAACCAAATATTTTGATGATCACAAACMAAGTGTAAACTAACAATTTGAGTGTTTCAAAGTGTCCATAGCGTAGAGCTCGAAAAGACAAAACCAATGTCTGTCAAATCACTCAAATCGGAGTTTAACTGAAGAAGTAATGGTCAAAACAAGTTAGGAGAAAAATCCAACGTGGCGGGTGACATGGACAAGTGGACTAATCCTACATGGTGGGTGATATGGACAAGTGGACCACTCAGAAGTTGACATGTGACATCAAGAGGACATACTTATGCTGACGTGACATCCAACAATCAAACAAATTAGAAGATGACATGTGACGCTTTGAATTGAATAACTGCCRGTTGTTAATAAATGCTTGTCTGCTATGCATGATGATTCTTGGTTATGACATAGAAGATTAGGTCATGTTAGCATGTATTTGATTTCAAATATTTCCAAGAAATCTCTTATTCGAGGTTTTCCAAAATTAAATTTTGAAAAAGACAAAGTTTGTGATGCATGTCAAATGGGTAAACAAACTAAGTCATCCTATAAAACAAAGAAAATGATTTCTACTTTAAGGCCTTTGCAACTATTACATATGAATCTATTTGAACCTACTAGAGTTGCAAGTCTAAGTGGAAAACATTATGCTTTTGTTATAGTTGATGATTTTTCAAGGTTTACTTGAGTTTTATTTTTATCTCATAAGGATGAGGCATTAAAAACATTTATTAGTTTTTCAAAGAAAATTCAAAATGAAAAAAGTTTTATGATTTCAAAAATTGGAAGTGATCMTGAAGGAGAATTTGACAATGYAGCTTTTGAAAAGTTTTGTGATGAAAATGGTTTTCTCATGATTTTTCTTCTCGAAGAACACTATAACAAAATGGTGTTGTAGAAAGGAAAAATCGCTCTTTGCAAGAATTAGCTACTTCTTTGTCAAATGAGTATAATTTACCAAAATATTTTTGGGCTGAAGCTRTTAATACTGCCTCTTATGTGATGAACCGTGTTTTAATAAGGTCAATTTTGAATAAAACTCCTTATGAACTTTTTAATGATAAAACTTCCAATATCAGCTATTTCAAAAGTTTTTGGTTTCAAATGTTTTATTTTGAAAAATAAAGAGAAATTTGGAAAATTTGAGTCAAAAATTGATATTGGCATATTTTTAGGATATTCGGCATGTAGTAAAGCATATAAAGTTTTTAATAAACAAACCCTTGTAGTTGAAGAGTCAATGGATGTTATTTTTTATGATCTCATATTACTGCTAATAAAGTTTCAGCTAGTGATGAGTTAGAAATGCCTTTTGAGAATTTGAACTTTAAAGATAATAACTCGAAAGCTATAGTAAATGAGACTCCACAAGTTCTAGAAGAAACCATTCCTAAGGATTGGAGTTTCTCAACTCATCATCGGAAGGAGTAATTATAGGTGATGTATCCCAAGGGGTAAGAACTCGATCTTCTTTAAATGCATTAAATAATGTTGCTTTTGTATCTCAAATTGAACCAAAGTCTTTTAAAGAAGCTGAAGTTGATGAATTATGGTTAATTGCTATGCAAGATGAGTTAAATCAATTTGAAAGAAACAATGTTTGGGAATTAGTACCACGTCCTAATAATCATCCTGTTATTGGTACTAAATGAGTTTTTAGAAATAAAATGGATGAGTCTGATGATATTGTTAGTAATAAAGCTAAGCTAGTTGCACAAGGATATAGTCYGGAAGAAGGAATAGATTATGAGAAAACTTTTGCTTATGTTGCTAGACTTGAATCAATTAGAATGTTGCTTGCATTTGCATCTCATAAGAACTTTACTTTATATTAAATGGATGTTAAAAATGCTTTCTTAAATGGTTTTATAATGGAAGAAGTATATGTTGAACAACCTCCTGGTTTTGAAAGTGTTGAAAATCCAAATCATGTTTTTAAATTAAAGAAAGCTCTTTATGGTCTTAAACAAGCTCTTAAAGCTTCGTACGATCGTTTGAGTAATTTTTTGCTTGAACAAGGTTTTAAAATAGGACTTATTGATACTACACTTTTTATTAAAACCAAAGAAAATGAAATTTTGTTAGTGCAAATTTATGTAGATGACATTATTTTTKGTGCCACTAACATTTCATTATGTGAAGAATTCTCTAAGTGTATGCATAGTGAGTTTGAGATGAGGGGAGAACTCAAGTTCTTCCTTGGGCTTCAAATCAAACAACTTAAAGAAGGAATCTTCATCAATCAAGAAAAGTATACAAGGGATCTACTCAAGAGGTTCAAGTTCGATAACGCCAAAATAGCAAAGACTCYGATGAGCACTACCACAAAGCTTGATAAAGATGAAAAAGGTAAAAAAGTAAATATAAAAGCTTATAGAGGTACGATCGGATCATTGCTTTACTCAACTGCGAGTAGACCGGATATTATGTTCAGTGTATGCTTGTGTGCTAGATTTCAATCATGTCCTAAAAAGTCACACTTTCATGCTAATTTTTAAATACTTGTTTGGAACTGTTGATTTTGGTTTATGGTATCCTAAGAATGCATCTCTTGATTTAATTGCTYATTCCGATGCTGATTTTTCTGGTAGTTTAATTGATAGGAAGAGTACTAGTGAAACTTGCCATTTTTGGGTAGCTCTTTAGTGCCTTGGTTTAGTAAAAAGCAAAATTCTATTGCATTATCTACTATTGAGGCTGAATATATTGCTACTGCTAGCTGTTGCTCTAAAGTTTTATGGATGAAACAAACATTGCATGATTTCGGTTTAAATTTTGCACATGTTCCAATCTTTTGTGATAATACTAGTTCAATTAATTTAACCAAGAATCCCATTAAGTATTCTAGGACAAAACATATAGATATYCGACATCATTTTCTTAGAGAACATATGCAAAATGGAAATATTATACTTAATTATGTTCACACTGAAAAACAAGTAGCAGATATTCTTACTAAACCATTAAATGAAGAAGCATTTTRTAGGAATGGACTTGCAGTTGAAATCATCGCATTTAATTGTCTAAACGTATTTGTTAGGGAGATAATTTTTTTTCTCTATGTATGATTGAGGGGRAGAATTTTTTTTTCTACCATGCGATAATTATCTTATTAAGGGAGAGTTGAATTTCATGAAATTTTTTTTTGATAATATCAAAAGGAGGAGAATATAGCCACTTTGAGAATGTGTTTTCTTGAGTGGTTTGTCATCATAAAAAAAAGGRGGAGATTGTTAGCTTTATGGCTTCAATCAAACCAAATATTTTGATGATCACAAACCAAGTATAAACTAACAATTTGAGTGTTTCAAAGTGTCCATAGCGTAGAGCTCGAAAAGACAAAACCAATGCATGTCAAATCACTCAAATCGGAGTTTAAACGAAGAAGTTATGGTCAAAACAAGCTAGGAGAAAAATCCAACGTGGCGGGTTATGTGGACAAGTGGACCAATCCTACATGGTGGATGACATGGACAAGTGGACCACTCAGAAGTTGGCATGTGGCATCAAAAGGACATACTTATGCTGACGTTGCATCCAACAATCAAACAAATGAGAAGATGACATTTGGCGCTTTCAATCTCTACAAATCTATTTCCAACAATTTCTCTCAATCTCCTCAATCACTCCCAATCTCAATAATTTCTTAATCTCCAGCAATTTCTTTTAATCACCATAATTATATTTTCATTTCATTTTCTTACCTCACCTCTTAATCTACACCTTTCATCCTTTGTTGCCCTAAAWCCAATGGCCAAAATTCATCATCGAAACTCTATTTAAAGCCACCAAATTTCACCATTCTATACATCAACTATCAAAGCAAAATCTTTTATTTTCAAATACTCCTCTCAACTTTTGCAAAATCTTCATTCTCTCATACACATAATTTGTTTTTTTTTTTTCGTGAGAGATTCATTAGAGTGTGGCTTTTAGCCATTACTTTGGTGCAAAATTTGTGTAATCCACTTGTTTTTTTGAATTCTTTATTTTCAAATTGGGTTTTGTATTAAGGTGTGGGTACACCTTGGGTTGTGAGAAAAGTAAATTGGTTGGATCCTGAACTAGTAAAAATGATCTTAGGTTTCTCTTTAGCCTAAGACAAAAAGAGGATCGATCGGTTTGGTTCTCACCCGTAAGAGGGCTACTGCAGTAAAATACCCAAGAAGRAGTCTCGGGGAGTGGAGTAGGAATTTCCGAACCACTATAAAAATTCTCGGTGTCACTGCTATCTTCTTTTCTCTCTTTTAAATTAAGTATTTATCTACTTTGAATCTTGGTAGATTGCATATAGGTTTACTTAAATATTTTGTTCAATATTTCCTCTTCTTGTTAATCTTYTTTTATTGATTGCATA